CCCCAAAACCCCAAAACCCCAAAACCCCAAAACCCCAATCTTTGACTCAAATATTGGCTAAAGTAGATCAAATTGTTTATTGATTGTTACGAGGAGGCTTGGTCATTGGTGCATACATATCCAGATACTTGCCAGCCCACTCTGGAGCTTGACTGTATTCCTGGTCGTCTTCAGTCTTCGGGAATCAGTAGTCAAATCTGATTTCTTGATTAACTTCTATATGATCTAGTGCATATATTGCGGGAGTTTTCAATGGAGGCATTAAGCCATCTTCTGAAGATTTCCTGGATTCAGCATTCGCATGCATGCCTACTCCATTGTTTATGTATTTTATAATATTGCCAACTTTAGAAGAGTCAATAGAGTCTCGATTGTTAAACCCAAAAATATAGATTTTTCCTGTAAATTGCTGAGCGATTTCTCTCCTTGCTATACTTTCTATCCCAAGAATTTCTCCTGAGTAAAATCCTATGAAGTCGCCTGGCTTGAAAGCTTGACCTGCAAAAATTCCGACGCCATCACAAATTCTTGATTTGCCCATATAAAGAATTTTAGGTTTGATAAGAGCTAGGTCAATATTTGGACAGATATTGCTAAACTCTTCAGCCACTTGGGAATCGATCTCTAAAGAGTTGGGATAGATATTGCAACAACAGTTAAAACAAGTATCTGGGTCACAAGGCCTGGATAATCTATATCAGACTCAATTCTGAGTATTTCATTCTCCGATGGAGCATTCTCATCCTGGGTATTGGTTTTCACAGCGACCACCTCAACTACAGTACTTCGTACAACTAGATTGGAGTCAAATTCACTGAACGTATTCATTGCAAGGGCCATTATGAGAACAGGCACAAAAGAGGTCCCTGCCTGATCGCTTATTATCCTCTACTCAATCTTTTCCTAGGCTATCATCCTGATCAAAATGTTCATTCTTGTAGTTATTTTTATTTTCATTGTCCTTAAATTTCATGTAAGTTTCAAAATCTATAGGGTATTCTTCAAATTTCAGTAGCTGTTTTAGCTCATCTTTGAATACACTTGGGACTTCATTGATGTCTGCACATTTTGTGATCCCCATTAGGTAGCAGATCTGGCAGCTTGTAATATTGGGTATTCTGAGATACAGTCTCTTCGCAGTCCAGACTTCTTCTGGAGTAAGTTTTGAGACGTCTCCATTTGCTTGAGAGTTCCATATACAATTAGTCTTCTTATTTTCAACTAAAGAAAATGAGGTTATCGTCCATTCTTTGATATCTGAGTTTCCTTCTAACTGGAGGTATTATGCCATCAACGTATGGCATTTCTGATCCAAGATCTCTGAAATAAGCTCTTGCCTGCATTTCCTCGTTGAGATAAAAACTTGAATTAATAGTTTGGATTTTCTTTCCAAAATTGTGATCATCTTCATCAGGTGGAGTGTGGTGAGGGCATCAAAATATCAAGCATCTTGGGCACATTAGCTGAATATTAGTTGAAATCTTACCTCTTTGAAGCATTTTCTCACTGAGGATGCTCATTTATCGCTGAAAGTTTTTATGTTTTTATCATTAGTCCAAAATAGCTTCTCATATTCAAGCAATCTCATAGCAGCGAAAGATACCTCCACCGGCTTTTTAATCCCTCTTGATGAATATAAAATTGGTAAGTATTCAGGTTTCCTTCTCAGAACATGGATCACCTTTTTCAGTAACGAGAATCCAGGCATCTGCAAATCACTTAAATCTTGATAAATAGGGTGGTTGATCATAGTTTCATCAGCTACTTTTACTCCAAGATAATGTTTGTAAGATTTGATGTACTCTTTGAACAATTCCTCAACTTTTTGCTCTTCTTGCCCTTTCTCAAATCCAGAAATATGACTCCTGACTAAATCATTCCCTATGTTGATAGGGCAGACAAATTTTGGCTTATGCTGAACTGCATGGACTTGGATTTCGTTATAAAGGGCATCTTCTTCACTAACAGTAACTGACGCTTCATTCTCTGTGAAACCAGAGAGTGAGCTTTCCTCTTTTCCTTCAAATTTCTTAACAAGCCTAAATGAATTATACGCCGAGAGAAATATACACTTACGATTTGAACTGATATTCACCTTCTAGTGGGCGATGTGGAAGTTTGATAGGGTTCTCTCTAAAATTCATTAGTAAAGTTCTTTTCCTTTGACAAGATAATAATTACTCTAAGAATGACATCTTCAAGTGAAGGAAATAGCCTAAGAATACTGACATCTTACCTTTGTAAACACAGTGTCTCTAACTTATTTCTAGTGAAAAATCTCAGAGAATTGACTCTATTAAGTTGAGACTGAAATTTCTGTACCTTTTGTATTCATCTAATGTATGCTATAAAGAATTGTTAGAAGGTCTGGAAAAGATATAGGAAAGTAGCCTAAATGGTCTAAAGTAATCAATATTATGAGACTCCCAACATGACTGAAAAATGTGTGGGCTCTGATGAAACGAGGAATTGAGATGGAGGGCTTACCAATCTAGTTAATTCTGCTTCAAATTCCCTTTTCATTAACTCTTTTGTATTGGAAGATGAAGCTTTCTTCTGCCGAGTATTGCGAGTTCGTTTAGTATCCATTCTAAAATTATAAAAATTGGGTAAATTGGGGTTTTGGGGTTTTGGGGTTTTGGGGTTTTGGGG